ACCCTCCAACCAAAGCTTCTGGGTGATTGTTTTACGATTGCGTCAGGTTTTGCGCTTGGCCGGCTTGGTCTTGGCCCTGGCTGGAGTGGTGGCTTGCTGCTGATACGCGATCCAGCAGTTGCGCATACCCGTTCCCATGGTTTCTGCCTCGACTGCCGCCGCATCGGCCCACTTTCTCGTGGCAGTGTCGCCTAGACTGCTTCCAAAGTTCCTCGCCTTTGCCTCCTCCTTCTTCCGCTTGGCGGCAGGGAGATCTACGTCTTTGGCCAGCTCGACGCAGTGGACGTGCATGGTGAGGTGGAGGTGGGAAAAGACGTGCTCGATGGTGCCGATGCGCTGGTGCGCCTGTGCTGCCGCCTTGCATCCGAGCAACGAGGTGGCGAATTCGTCGATTTGAGCGCGCGTTGGCGGCGTCGGTGGTGTGGCAGTCGATCCTGCCTCGGTGGTGGAGAGCGTGAGCGAGGGGAACTGCCACATGCTGGCGAGCAGCCCTGACGCTGGGCGTTGTTCCAGCAGATACTCGCCCGCAGGTCGCCGGACGATGCACACCAGACACGACTCTGTGCGGATCGTCTTTTTGCTCAGCTTCATGGGGAACTTGCAGACGTGCGCATGCACCGCCTCGTCGCCGCTCACTCGGGCCGTCTCCTTGGCTTCGGTGGATGAGGAGGTGCCAAACGAGAGCGTTGCCTGGCGCATCTTCTTGCCGCCCTTGGGCTCGCTCTTTGCTGCAGGCTCGGGCTTGAGATCGTTTGGGAACGGCTCGCAAAGCTTGCACAGGTCTTCGATATCCTCCACGCCGCCTTTGCTCGCCGGGAGCGTGGCCTCGGCATGTGCCCTGCAACTGGCTCTGATCGGGCACTCGTTGCATGCCGGCTTGAGCGGCGTACACAGTGTGCTCCCAAGCTCCATGAGCGCCTGATTCCACTGGCCTGGCGTTGCTCCGCCCTGCTTGACCTCTTGCGCCTTTTCCACCACCACGCGCGCCGCCTCCCACAGCACGTCGGTGGTGGCCTTGGCCTTCGGATTCGCATACAGCCCGAGCTGCCTCGACAACACCCTCGCCACATTACCGTCCAGAATGGGCACCGCCCGTCCATACACGATCGAAGAGATGGCA